TGCTGGAACTGGGGACCATGGAAAAACTCTGATAGGGAGATAGGTTTTCCTCCCTTCAGAATAGAAGCAATGTCTATTCTCAGAGCACATATTTCTATTGGCGATGTAAGCTAGCTTTCTGGTGAGTCTCAGACCTGAGGAAGAGATATGTTGCACCATTCCTTCAAATATCTAACATTATCTAACATTAATCAGTCACATAGGTAACATTAACCGAGTCACATATGTAACATTGAGTATCTACTATGTGTTAGGGTTTGTGCCTGCAGAAGGTAGAGTGATTAATAATGATAATGATGAGAAATATTTATTGATCTCTTTCAAAGTATCAGGCGCTGGGCTAAGTGCTTTATACGCATCATCTCACTTAATCCTCACAACAACTCAATGTGGTAGGTACAATTCTTATCCCGATTTTGTGGAGGAGGGAAGATGAAAACAATATAGTGTCTGTTTTCAAGAAGCTTACAGTGGATAGAGGGAGACAGACTGGAAAACAAATCATGACAACAGAGTGAGTTAAGTCTTGGGGAGCACAGAGGCAGGAGGTCCTCTCAGCCTGGCCAGTGTGGGGTGCTGTGGGGGAAAGTTGTGCATAAAGCTTGACATTTGAAATGGACAAAGAATTAGGAGTGAGCAGAGTGCAAAGGTGAAGCGGGGAGAGAGCAAATCAGGTATGAGTGGAGTGGAGATAAACTTCAGTCTTATTTTTCTGTGGGGGGGGGGGAGGGAGGAGAAGAACAACAGCACACCCACGTAAAGGGTGAGTGGAATGGAGAATTAACAGTCTTTTTGGAGAAAGGCGAGGCGGGAAGCAGTTCTGCTGTGCAGTGCTGGAATTGAGGGTTCAGGCTTTAGGCTCTGGGGTACTCAGAGCAGGAAAGGGGGAAGATAGTTGGGCTCTGGAGAAGGCTCCCTTCTGGAAGAGGCGGGATTTGAGCAGGGTTCTGAGCTGCAGGTACAGATAGGGAAAGGAGGTAAGCCTGCGCAAAAAAAGGGTCCGGAGGTTATGAGACACTGAATGACTTTGCAAAAGGAGATGGGGAAGGGGACCTCGGCGTCCAGTTTGTGACTGCGTGGATGCGCGGCTCCTCCAGAGGGCGCTGTTCCCCAGGAATCCGCAATCAGCGTCTGCAAGGCCAGGACTCCCGCTGGTTCCTCGCTCCGCTGGAGTGGGACTTGGAGGCTCGGTCCGCTCCAGAGGCCTCGGGCGCCTGGCCAGAGGAGCGTTACCGGTTCCGCCTCTGCTTCGGGGTCGGAAAGGCTAAGTGCGCACGTGCGAAATAAGGGGGGCAAGTTCGGACAGCTCTGTACCCTTCTCCCTCCTGCCCCGCCCCAATTCAGGGCTCCGGAGGGGCGTCGGGTTCCCGAGGTTTGCTGCTCCTGCAGGCAGCATGTAATTGGTGGGAAGGAGGCCGCCGCGGCAGTCGGCCTGGCTGTCCACAGCGTAGTCCCTGTACGCAGCGTCCCAGACACCTATCCAGGCTTGCACCCTCTCAGGCCCTCCTTCCCTGCCAGAGTCTCCTTGCGGGCTCGGAGTGGGTTTGCAGCCCCCCAACCAGGCCACGCCGCTGCAGGCCCTGGGGTTAAAGGCAAGCCCTCCAGGGCAGTCTCCGCACAGATCGTGCATCCCGGAGGGGAGGACTCAGGACGGGCGCTGGTTGCTCTGGGAAGTAGTGGGGCACCCAGAGCCACTGTTGCTTGAGGGGCACATCAACCCAACAAACAACTCACACGCGGACAGGGAAACAGACCCGCTGACCGGAAGCCCGGGACACACTTTGACACAGGGGCGCTAGCTCCCATACACCTGGAAGCGTCCCCTACTCCTCGCAGGTCTCCCAAGCATGTGGAGCCTGCCCCACCCTGGTCGCTGCGAAGCCGGTCCCCAGGTCGGGCGGTTTGGAAGCCGCGCTGTTTTCACCGTCTCCTGAGCTCGCAACCCTCTTCCCACGAACGAACGAAAAAGTCGAAAAAGTCGATAGGCTCCGCTGCTCGCCCTGGTCTCAACGCTGCACGGGCCATCGGGTGCTCAAGCGAGCCCCCACCACGTAGTCCCGGGGTAGGTGGGGCTGGGAGGGGACTGTGGTCAGGCGTAATGGAAGGAAGGAGACGTTTCCTTCTAGAAGTGGAGGAGACACCGGTGTGGGGGTGCTGCAGAAGCGCCGGACCCTGAGCCGGGGCCTAGGGGTGGGCAGGTGGTGGGCTTCAGCGGTGCAGGAGCATATGGAGGCCCGGTTAATGGTGTGCTTGCAGAGGGCCAGGCCTCTCCTAGAACCCTGATCTGAGTCCCGCTCCTGTGTGTAGGGAGCCCCCCGCCTAAGGTTAGCCCTGCAGACCTGGAGTCTCCTGCCTCCTAGTCAGGCCGAGGGCACCGTCACCCCGGAGCAGGCGGAGATCTGGGGTGGAAAGATGTTACCAACTACGTCCAAACACCATCTCGTTCCAGAGCTGTAGCCCGGTGCTGGAAGGACCGGAAGACGGTGGCTGCGCAAGTCTTGCCACTTCCCCCCAGGCTAGTCAGGTTTGTGAATAAAATGAGAGAAGTGTGCAGACTTCGTGTCTGTCCCCTGGTCCAGCTAAGGCCGCAGTTTGCAGCCGGGCCACACTGAGGGGTGGATCTCCGCGCTCACCGAACTCAACCCTGGAAAGGGCAATGCAGCCACCCGCCTCGAGCTCCCTCAGTGCCACTCTCTGCCAGTCTCACGATTGACTTAATTACATTCTCATAATCATGGAAGACTCTCTGTCCCCTTGTCCCCCAGCTCTAAGAGCATGTCTACATGCATGGGCCACAAGGAGGGGAGGGAGGAGCCATATGGGGAGAAACCCGCTGATAGCAACACATCTCAATAAACACATAACAACCTCTCCAGAACATTTTACAGTAGAAAACTGCCCAAAGGACCCCCCTCCCCCGCCCCCAGCAAATGCTTCCTCCCAGTTGTTTCTGGGTTGCTCATGAGAGGTGGCCAAATAGTGAGGCAGACAAAGAAAGAGGCTGGGCACAAGCCTTGTCACCCCTGCTTCTCTGAGGCTGCAGGCATGGGTGTTGGGCCGCAATCTTCTGGAAAAGCACCCAGGTTTTCCAGGTGGGAGTGACAGGCTCACACACGGCTGCAGAAGCAGGAAGGGCAGGAGCCATGGGAGAAGGGCAGAAACGAAAGGAACCTCCAAACCCAGGTGGCCCTTCTCCCAGCACCCAATGCATTGTTCAAAACAAATAGGCCCAGAACCTTGGAAGGGATGAGAAGCGCCCAGAAAACCTTTCCTCCGGCAAGAATGGAGCCTGGCCAGGGGCTAAGCAGTCACTGGGGTAAACAAATCAGGTCTGGACTGGGAGTTCAGACACCTGGGTCCAACCTAATTGGGGGAATGGGAGCCTTCAAAAGCCTGGAAAGTCATGTTATCTCCTGGGCCTCGTTGTGTGTGTGTGTGTGTGTGTGTTTCTGAAGGGTCTGGGTGATGATTCCTTAAGATCATGCACCACTCCCACTTTGCAAAGGGGGATAGGGCGTGGGTTCCCTTTCCGAAATCTGAGTCCCAGCAGCAGTCCTGAGGAGCAGGGCCAGGCAGAGGCAGGGGCCAGCAGCTGCAGCTGCTCTGCAAACTATGGCCCGCGGGCCGGATTCGGCCCGTTTTAAATGAATAAAACTAAAAAAAAAAAAAGACCGTACCCTTTTATGTAATGATGTTTACTTTGAATTTATATTAGTTCACACAAACACTCCATCCATGCTTTTGTTCCGGCCCTCGGGTCCAGTTTAAGAACCCATTGTGGCCCTCCAGTCAAAAAGTTTGCCCACCCCTGTGTTAGATGAAAGTGAGAATTCACCCACCCTCACATGGGCTCTGCTGAGATACAGCCTGCAGGGGCTGCAAATTGCCTCCCACTCTCTTCTCAGTGCTTATCTGCAAGGGGCCTAATTCTGCACAGTGACTGGTGTGGCAGTGGTAACCCACCGAGTCAGAGGGCTGCACCAGGACTTGAGATCAGGTGGGAGAATACACCACCTTTGACTCCTTTTTTTTCTTCCCAGGAGTCTTCAAAGTGCTCACAATACCCTCTTCAAAAGTAACCCAGAATGATTTGGTTACTTTTACATATTAGTCATGACCAAGGTGCCGTTAACCTTATTTTTACAGAAGAAGAAACAGAGGCATAAAGAGTTAGGAAACTTATCTAAGATGGCAGAGCTGGTAAGTACAGGACCGAGACTCCAGAAACCTGACTCCAGGCTTCCTGCTTTTAATTACTAAGCAAAGAAGGAAACGGAGGCTGGGAAGGGAAAGTAACCTGCTGGCTGTCATATACAGAAGCGAGACTGTGGAGCTCCGTTGGGTTTCAGGCCGCGAGCGTCCGAGCTTTGACCACTGCGCGGCGCTGTCGGGACAGCAGCCGGCCGTATGCTCAGTTCTTGCCTACTTCCAGGGCCCATCTCCCCTTTCACCCCTCAGAGGCTGAGATGGGCCCAGTCTGAGCCGGTGCTACTCGTTGCTGGGTTCCTGGCGGGAGACCACGCGGGGAGAGACAGGCCTAATGAGATGGAAAGGAACCCAGCTGAAGAGAAAAAGGGCACAGGACCAACCCGTGAGAGATGAAGGCAGCACTGGCCCGGACTGCGGTCAGGGTTCATTGAAGAAGGTCTCCATGGCAGTCCTGCTGCCTGTCTGTAGAACCTACAAGTCCAGCTAGAAAGTTGGGCGGGGCGGGGGAGGGCAGCCCTCTAGTATGACTGGGGCTGGGGGAGAGAGGAAAACTGAGCCAGGGTTTCCCGGACCCACAAACAGACATCCAGGCAAATGCAAGGTTTCCGCTGAAGACGGAGACAAGGACTCACCGAAGGCGAGAAAGACACAGAATCACAACGGATACGGAGACAGAAAAAGTACAGGCAAACTCAGAGCTAAGGCGCGGGCCGCGCTCCCGGGAATACGGGCGCCGCACAGAAGCGTGGGGGTAGGTAGGGGAGGGGGTTGACAGGCAGGCAGCGCACTACCTGGGTCGCCGGGGTACCATCCCCGGTTCGGAGTCCAGCGGCGCGGCGAGCGGAAGGTGGAGGGGTCCCAGCCTTGCGGAAGAAAGAGACCGAGCAGTCGGAACCTCTCACCCCTCCGAGGCCCGAGGCCGAGAGCTCCAAAGTTTGCTCCTCGCGATGACTCCTGTGCGTCTTCCCTTGGGCCGGCAGCCACTGGGCTCCAGCGGCCCCGCTCCCGCGGCGTCCGTCCTGGCGTCGCAGGGCCCCGATCGCGCTCCAATCGAACTTCGGCCTCGGTGGCCCTGGCTCTGCCTCGGGGAGAGATGATGGGTGGGGGCTGTCGCCACTTCTTCTGGCTCTGGCTGGCACCCGCGTGAACCTTAATATCCGGGGGCTGCGCGCACTGAAGGCGGCCGTGGCTCCAGGGAACGGAGGACTGGCGGGGTCTTCGGGGA